TCACGATGTATACCTTGTCATATACAAATAAAATAAAGAAATGATGTTTACCTACTTTAAAAAAAAAAAATAATAATTCAGAAATTAATAAAAAAGTTTTTATATTTATTATTTTTTTATTTTAATAATTGAATTTTATTTATATTATAATTATATTGATTTATTTATAATTTAAGAAAGCAATAAATTATTTATATAAACTAATTTATTAAAATTAGAAAATACATTAAAAGTTAATATACTTTATAAAATAAAATAATAATATTTACATTTATCATATAATGTTAATATTTATATAATTTGATATTATATAATTAAAACTTAATATTTGATATTAACTAATTTAATTATAAATTATTTATTCTTTTTATTAAAATGTAATTTAAAATTTTTATTTCAAATTTTTTTTACAACAAATGTTATATAATGGTTTATTAATTAATTTATTTATTATTTGGCATCAAAGATTAAATTTAAAATTTGAATTTGATAAATTAGTAATACAGTAATCACCATTAAATAATTGTATAGGAAAAATTTGATTTTAATTGATTAATACTTTTATTTGATAATTTTTAATTATACAGTATATAAAATATTGCAAAATTATTTTTTTTCAAATTATCAGATTTAATAAATACACTTTATAATTTACAGTTATCTATATAATTTGTACCATTTTGATATATTACAAAACCAATAAATTAATCTAAAATCCAAGAATAAAATTTTATCATACTGTATATAATGTAACGGAGAAATGGAATGCGACGTAAGTCACGTATCGATCGTCGCGACAATGGTGAGAATTGTTAAAAAAAAAAGAATTATGTAATCTAACTTCATTGTATTATCACCTATTATTCTATGTCCAAGCCACCTTAATCAAATGTATACGCGAATCTCTGCGACAGACACCGTTACTATTAATATTATGTTAGATGAAATGAATATATAAAATGAAAATATTAAATAGCGAATTATATAATCTTAAATGAATAGAAAATTTTTCTTAAATGGAAATAGAAGGGTAATGAATGAATGAATGTGATGCATTATTTAAAAATAGACCTTATGTCGCGGGTATATGGTGTCCCGTCATGGATATTTATAGAAAAAGAATTTTTTTATTCTTATCCGTAGATATTGATTAGCAGACCGGCAAGCACTCTACGGGGTGATAACTGCCCACATGATTAGAAAATTTTAAATGGATCATGTTTCACATATTATAATATCATGATTTATTTAATTGAATTAACAAATTCGTATTTTTGAAGAAAACCTTTGAAATTCATTTAATCACAATACGCAAAAACCAAAAGTTTTTGAAGAGAATCGACATTAAGGAGCTTAGAATGCGTAGATCACATCATGTATTTGGAACGAGGTTTCATGACGTCAATATTAATGAGATAGGCTTTTCTGGTAACAATAGTATATTTTGCTATTTTGAACCTTGGAAATTAAGATTAAGGAAAAAATGCCTTAGCACGCATGCACATACACACTTGGGAATTTCGCATCAAAAAATTATTGGTGGTTTATTTCTTTTATGAATTTCTGTCGTGCGATCGTAAAACAACGGAGTCTGATTTCGGACGCCAACCAATGATGTAATTAGTAATAATAGAGATCATAGTCCATTAGCGCGTGTGAATGCCAATGTTTCATAGAACGATGGACGGTTGAAACTTTATACAGTAGTACGAAGTATTAATTTAGTTTAATTATATTATATATATATAAGTTGTTGACTTTATCACCGAGACGACCGTTGAAAAAATGTCTCTGAAATTGATCTGTATATGTATATTGTGCTTAACGTTAACTATCAATGCCGCACCGTCTAAGAAACAAGTCGCCGATACTCTCCAAGAATGCCTAAATCCAGTCAAAGGAAATAAGGTGTTTCCTAACGATGCCGTATATTCTCAAGACATCATTGATGAGAACACACGTATCACCTTTAAACCTGCCGTGATAGTTTACGCAACCTCCGTTGAAGATGTTCAAACTTCGGTAAAATGTGCTACCACCTTGAAAATTGGAATTACTGCAAGATCAGGTGGTCATTCGTACGAAAAATATGGAACGGGTGGTAGAGATGGCGTTTTAGTAGTGGACTTGGCAAATTTAAATAATATTACCATTAATAATAGCAAGAAAACGGCGGTCATCGGTGCGGGAAACAAATTGGGACCAATCTATTACACTCTGAGTCAGTCAGGATTTCTAATACCGGCCGGAAGTTGTCCTAGCGTTGGCGTGGGCGGACATAGCATGGGTGGAGTAAGCAGTTTCTTTCGAATACTCTAAAATATGTTTTATTCTACACAAAAACGATAACCATTGTCTTTCAATAGGGCTATGGATTATACGGGCGAAAATTTGGTTTAGCATCCGATCATATATCATCGGTCAATATGGTAAACGCAAACGGTGACCTAATAACTGCAAGCACCGATGAAAACCCTGATTTATTTTTCGCTCTTCGCGGCGCAGGCGGCGGAAGTTACGGCATTGTCACAGACATAACATTTAACCTATCGCCTGTTCCCCCCACTGTCACCTCATTCACTCTTACATACGATCCCTCGAAACTTCAATTAACCTTTGATGCTATGAATCAAGTTGGTACAAGCCTGCCAGCGGAAATGACGATCTCGTTGTCGATCTCTCCAAATAATGTTCAAATTGTCGGAGTCCATCTTGGATCAAGTGAATCAGCTCAATCTGCTTTAAAGAAATTCATAAAAGTTTCAAGTCCCACCGACACACAGTTTAATGAAGAAACATTCTTTGCAAGTGTTGTCCGAATGGGTTTCCAGGGTTTCCAGGGTACAATAAATCCTACGCATCATCCAAATAGCTTCAAAGCAAAATCGTTCTTTGTAAAGTCACCTGGACTATCCTCCGCTGGCGTACAATCTATCAACAACTTTCTTAATACTATCGAATGTTCAACCTTCGCTGAGTTTGATCTGTTCGGAGGAGGTGCGGCGAATTCGATTGCACCCGATGAAACGGCGTTTGTACATCGAGACACATTGTATCTAATTCAATTGTACACCACGTTAACAGGAGATGAGTCCACAGATAAGATATGTTTAGATAAATTGACTTCGTTTGGCATTACTTTTCAGAAGAGGTTCACCAGTTATTTCAGCTACCAGAACTATATCGATCGAGATCTACAAGATTGGCAACACAGATATTATGGATCAAATTTTGAAAGATTAACAAAAGTGAAACAAAAATATGATCCGAAGAACTTGTTTAATTTCCCACAGAGCATTCCTACGAGTGCTAATTAAATTAATGATGTTATTAAATTCTAAAATAATCATTATTTTATTTTTGGGGGTAATTAATGTACAACTTGTGATATACAGTATATAAATACCACTATATTTTTTAAATCACTAATAATAAATTAAATGTCCATTTTTTCTCGCCAAATAAAATATTATTACTACTTAAACTGATAGCAATAACGATAACCAGTTTTGATTGTTTCATCGAGGGATGTACGAGTTATGTTGGTAAAAGAGTTATGGCAAAAGAAAAGAACTAAATTCATACTTCGACCATCGCAATCTAAATATCATTTATTACTTGATGGTTCGTATTTGCAAATTAGTGACAGTAGCTTTTTTTTTTTTTGTATCAGTAAATACATAAAGACAGAATATTTTTGAAAGTTGAATACTTAAAATATCATCCAGAGAAAGGATTACAGAAATGTTGGCAGAATACCCTTCCACATGTAAATACTGGACACTCAATACACTCACTGTCCTTAATGCGAAGATTCGGAATTTATGTTAAATTGTACGCGAGAAATTTTTTGTATATCATCAAGAGAGCAAAAATAATGGTTCACATTTAATTTATTGACAAAATATAGCAAAAAATATCATAAAATCAAGATACAACATTCAAGATCACATGTCTTTTTTTATTTTTTTATTTATAACCTTTTTTTTTTTTATATATAAGTAATAAGTTTAAAGAATCCTAAATGTTAAAATATATTAGATTTTCTCCCAGCATTTTTAAATTTGAGATTATTCAACGATATCGTAATCTTCCACTGGTGTTTTCTCATCTTCATTCTCATCGCCCTCTTCTTCATTCCCATCGCCCTCTTCTTTATTCCCATCGTCTTCTTCATTCCCACCATTCTCATCGTCATTCCCTTTATTCTTGTCATCTTCTTCCTTCTTACGTTCCCTGAGTAAAATTTCGATTACACGACCAATTCTTCCATTAAATTTCTTCAACAATTCCTCATAATGAGAATTCTTTTCAGCCGGAAAACCCATCGAGTTTAGGAGGGCAACCTTTTCCGCAAGTTCTTCGGGAGTAAGCGGCTTACGATGGTGATGATGGTGAGGGAAACGGGGACCTCGGGGCATCCTATGCCTAGGCACATGGTGATGCAAACGTGGCCCACCCCTTCCTAATCTATGTCTTCCTCGAAAATCGTGGCCATTTCCAAATCTGTGGCCACCATGATGATTGAAGCTTTTTCTCGAATTTTCTGATTCATGATCCGATTCAGGTCCGTCCCTAACACGTTCAAATTCGTGATCACCACGGCGGTGTCTTGTTTTGTATTCTACATCAGAGCCGTGCTCATCATGTTCAGATCTCTGACCATCACGGGGACCAAATCCATGTCCACGAGGACCACGGCGTTCGGAAGAATCAGAAAAATATTCCGACTCCTTATCAAACCTGCCGCGAGGACTATGCCCACGTTCACCTCCACGTCCATGTTCATTTTCAAGAGAATGATGTCTACTATGACGCCCATGCTTACCATGAAATTCCTTCGTGCTTCTTTCAGCATTAAATCTTCGATGATGTCCGTGACCATATCTGTGAGGACTGTGTTCATGGTCTTCCGGTTTTCTGCGATGTAATTGTTTCACGTTTTCTTCAGCTTCGAATCTTTCGCGAGGACCATGACCGTGTTCTCGAGGAAGATGGTGAATACGTTCTTCATTTTCAAATCCGTCACGACGACCACCCCGAGGTCTGTGTCCATGTTCTTCAGTTTCAACTCTGTCACGATGGCCACCTCGAGGCCCACGTCCATGTTCCCGAGGATGATGAATATGTTCTTCAGTTTCAAATCTATCACGAGGGCCACCCCGAGGCCCACGTCCATGTTCCCGAGGATGATGAATATGTTCTTCAGTTTCAAATCTATCACGAGGACCACCCCGAGGTCCGCGTCCATGTTCCCGAGGATGATGAATATGTTCTTCAGTTTCAAATCTACCACGGGGACCACCTCGAGGGCCAAAACCATGAGGACGGTGACTGGAATCACCATGATGTCTAGGTTCACGATGAAACTCAGAACCACGTTCTAAAGAAGGCCCGCGTTTTTCATGAGGGCCAGGGCCAAATCTACGCATGCCTCTGTGAGGACTATGACCACGTTCGCCTTCACTTGTCTCCACGAATTCTTCATGTCTAAATCCACGAGCGTGAGGAGGACCACGACGCACACCCCCCCTCATCTCAACTCCATCATGAGGTCTTTCGTGATGATGATGATGATGGCCGCCTCTATGCGGTCCTTCATGGAAAGGAAAACCAAAACCTTTGGGACCACGGGGGCCAAATGGCCCAAACAAACCAATCCTTCGACCGCCACGATGATCGTGTCTTCTACCACGATGCGAGACCAACAAGTAAATTTCCGGTTCAGAACCACTTTCATTTCCATGCTTGTTGGTGGTATTTTGCTCTACCTTACTTTCGGGATGGGCATTCTTTTCTGCGAATGTTTCGCCAAATTCGCTGTTGAGTTGTGTCGTTCCCATACTATTTGTTGTTATATTATTTTTGACTACTCTTTGTAGTAGGTTTCTTGTTTCCAAGTCTTTGATGGGAGAGAATTTGAATTTTTTTGCCAACCTCTCAATTCACCCCATTTATACAATTTTTTGTTCGGCATCGGTAAAATTTTACCGAAACTCGGCTAAATCATGACAGGTTACATCCGTGTCCCAGAAGCCAAGAATTCGTTTCGTCAGGGTGATACAACGTTTGATGGCTGATGCCGAAAATTAACCGAAAAAAAATTTAGCCGAAATTTAGCCGAGGTTAACCAGAAAAACAAAATAAAAAGCCCAAAACTTTATTTTTTAACCTTTTTAGGTTCTCAAACCAACACTGAGTAGAATATTATCTTTTGATCATTACGTAAAGTCTCCCAACCCACTCTGAATCAGACTTTCATTTATATTTTAATTATGCAATTACAATCATTTCGGGTTACACTACTCAGGATTAATGCATGTGTTAAAAGAATATTATTAATTTGCGCAACTTCTTTGACAACGCATTCACTAATGACTCATAGCCCCCTCTATAGTTTTTTCTATAATTAGACGAATCAAAAAAGCCTCACTGAACTCATGATTGATCGAAGCAACAATATTAATGTGTTATTTGATCAATGACATATGCATCGGACGTAATATAAGTTCTGCGTACCGATAATTCAGATAAGCAAATAACGTGATCTCCGATAACATTTTCCAAATCATAAACAATATAATATAATAAATTCCCACGATGCCGATCCGCGTCAAAGGCTTTGCTCTGTACAAATTTCCATCTTCCAAAAAAATAAAATAAAATAAATAGTATGACGCAAATTCATCCTCTCGCAATTGTATCCAGTGGAAGAATTTGGGCTGTTCAGCAAAATGGCGGGAATGAGTCAACAAATACTCCGAATTATGCCTTGTTTCGCCTTCGAAATCTGAAGGTACCGAGTGGTGTCATGGAAGTCAATGCACATTTTATATCTCTCTCACTGATTTCTGTCGATTTCATTAAAATTCTTTTAGGGCCCAATCGACGAAGTAGCTTTATGTAATGCCATATTGACACCACAGGATGCTCGTGAAGACTTCACCTTTGAAGTGTCCGATTATGACGGTACATCTGCCACAGTAAGTTTGTGACCTCGCGTTCGATTAGTTAAGCTTTCTCTTTCAGTCTGCATTACTGTTTACACTGAAACCGAAGAAAATTTGTTTTATTGAATTCTAAACTTTCTTTTTATGTGTTATGTCTGTTAGGTTCGAATCGTTTTCAACAATACGACGCATCATAACTTGGTTCAACGATTGAGTATTTACTCGGAGATCAGAAACCTTTCAGAAAATGGATTTTATGACTGGTTTGCGATTGACTCTGCTACTATCCAATGCATGAACCCGCGTCCTGCGACTGAATCAATAACTTTACAAGATCAACCAATTCAAATTGAAACGGTGGATAGAGTGATTGATCAAATAAGTGGTGGTGAATATCAATGTTTGCCATCAATCTTTCCAGGGACTACTTTAACGTCTAGCGAAGATGGTCGAACTAGCATTTTGTGGGGGGAGTCGTTCACGAATATAGCGACCACTATAAAAATGGTTAATCTTATGATCTTTACAAGAGCAAAGGACTTCACAGAAACGGTAATTGATCAATTTTCTATGTTGCATGGTGTCAATATTATTAATTTGCTGCTTAAAATTCAAACTTTTTTTTTAATGTAAACAGGAAAAAGACAGATTTATTGTGTTTATTGTTCGAATTCTAAATGTCATGAAAAGCATACCTATACTTGGTAAAACGATTGTGACAATTGAAGAATCCACAGGTGGTAGATTGGGTCATGACTTTTTTAAAGACTATTACGAAGGGCTAGATCATCACCTAGTGAAATTAGAAGAGGCACTCGGTGAAACGATTATATCTTTGAGTGAGGGTCAATACGATAATCTTAATGGTATGTATTTGACTGACGTCTTTCTTCTTTTATTCAATTGGAATCTAAAGTTAAACTAAACTTGCAGAACATTTCCGAAAAATGGGCGAGGTCCTTTCTCGCATATGCCCGTTTGTTGAAAATGGTAGCCAGGAGCTAAATAATTTGGCGGAGTATGTCAAAAAACTCCAAGAAAAGAAAGATATTACGGATAAAATTGTTAAAGGAGCTTTGACGTAAGTGAACTCTTATGAATTTATACTTGATTGTAACTATGTATATATTCGGTAATGTAAATTTCCATTTTTTTTTGTAATTAATATCTAGTGGTGCAGCAATTTCTTTAACTGCGGGACTGACCACATTATTTATGAGGAAACTTTTAGTGACAGTAAGCAAAAAGTTTGGTGATTGGTTCACACTCTTATCGTATGATAAACTTACCAATATCTCATTTAAACCAGTGGGCGTTCAGCTGTGCCGGCTGCGCTGGTGTTGGTGGTGCGGCGGCATACTTACTAAGCAATCATTACAAAAATACCATCTCCCGTTATGATGATACACATAAGAATTTAAAAAGCATGGAAAATTTACTAAAGAGGATGTCAGAATCGAATAACACTTACCTTAATCTGGATGAAGGAAAATATCCCGGCAGGGCGGAAATTTTGATCGAGTGCCTCAAAGAATTTCAAGAGGAAATCCGTAAATTGCGTCCATCCACCATATTAGATACACATACACTTTGAGATTCACTCTGCTTTTCCCACATCGTGTATTACTTTTTAGATTTGTGTGGGATGGTTATTTTATCATTGTCATCATTAGTTAACATTATGGTGAAATAAAGGTTGATTAATGATTTAGAGCATAATCACTAATTTAAATTTAATAATGCATAGCTTTATAAGAAGAGAATACTAATAATTACTGTATTAATAATTACTCTATACTTTTTTGTTTGACTCTTAGTAAAGATAAAGATTTAATTATATTTAAAATTATCTAAGGTTACGTCTCTTGCAATGACCAATATTAAATGCGAAATTGATACATTTTAAAACTTACTAATTATTTAAAATAATATTTAATAAACATACTGTATATGCATTTTTAAAAAAGCTACACCTATGATCATTTTTTTAATGAATCATGTTATATCATTATTTTATATTTGTTCTTATTATATATATCTTAATTATCAGTCAATACTTGTGATTTATTATATTATATATTATATTGTATTAATCTGACTTTATTTATTTGATATCTTTATAAAAAAATAATCACAATTTACAAGAAAAAAAAGCCTTTTTTTTTTTTTAAGGTTAAGTTGTGATATACACATGGATTTTATTGATATTTTAGTTATGATCACAATTACCTATACATGAATGGTCTATTAGCTATTGCTAATGTTAATTCCCCCTATCCATCCTAGAAAAAAAAGTTTTTTAAAAAATTACAAATAAAATTTAATATAATAAAATGAAAAAAACAAATTTTTTATTACAAAAATCAAAGAATAGAATGTTTTATCAAAGACTTTTTAATAAATCAAAAGGCAATATTTAATATTTCTGTTATTTTATAATTATATTATATTTAAAAATTATATTTTTTAAATTTATTTATTAATAACATACAAAATTCACACATTTTAAATAATTATTATCTTATTTTTTTTATAATTCTATATAATTATAATTAGGTTTAATTATATAAATGGTTTTATCTTTTTATTCAAATATAATTTTTTTAAAAATATAATAACACTAGTCCAAATTAGATTATTTGGCTAACAAATTACATCCAATTAAATTCGAATTTATCAATAGAAGTTTATATCAAAGTTTTGTTATTTGGTCCAATTTATGCCATTTGGTACTTAAAAAATACAAAATAATTTAACAAAAAAAATATAATATTTAGCAAAAAATAATTATTTGATAATAAACAATAAAATTATTTGACAATAAAATCATTTGACAAAAAAAAATTTAGCAAAAAAATATTTTTATGTAAAAAATATTTGGCAATAAAGTTACAACATTCTATAATAAAAATTATAGCATTTTTTGAAATAAATTTTTATTATTTAACTATAAAGTTAACAAAATTATTTAGTATTATATACTTTGGTAAAATCAAATTATACATTTTCAATAAAAAAATTGTATTTATAATAATATTTAATAAAATTTAATTAATACTTGATAAATTTATTAAAACATAAAAAATATAAAATTTGAAATAATAATAATTATTATTATTATTATTTTAAAGGCTAAGGTGCAATACATGCATGGCTTTTATTTCATAAATCACATGATTTACAAGTTACCATTACATTAACAGTCTAAGCTATCACTAATTAACTGACAACCCTGCCCTTATTCTAATCCAGATATCAACTTACACCTCGAAGGTGGGTTCATACCTAGGTGTGGACTATACAAAGGACTGTTTAAAATTTGAAATAATTATTTACTAATTATTTATTAATTATTTATTTATCTTTTACTAATTATTTACTAATTAATTATTTGATAATTGTTTGCTTATTATTCTTTAATTTTTTATTTATTAATCTTTTTGCTTATAATTATCTTTTTTTTTTGATAATTTTACTATGGCTCTTATAACTTTTGAAGATTTTATAATATTAAATCTCTTTTGCTTTGAGATACTTTTTTGTAATTTTTATACTTCTTGCACTTCTTATACTTCTCATAATTTTTCTTTAATTTTTTTTTTTAATATTGTCTCTTGAATTTTATCTATTTATATACTTTTTTCAGTTTAATACTTCTCTTTTTCTAAATATATAAGTAATTTCTCATAATCAAAGATCCTTTGTCTTTTATATTTTTTTACCGATTGTTTATTTTTTTTACTTTGTTTTATTTCTTGTTCTTTATTTTTCAATTTACAAGTACAACTTAGCAAGTTTTTTAGCAAGGTTATATTGTAACAATAAGATTCACTATAGTTTTACTTATAAATCAGTTAAAATAATTAAATTAACTTTAAATATTCATCTAAATTACTAATAAATCTTTCAATTATAAAATAATTAGTAATGAATTAATTATTTGATATAAAATCCTTTATTAAAAAATATTTCATTAAAATATCAACTATAATCATATATGTTTATTCTTCTTTTATTATTATTTTCTGAATCGGTTTCACTTTTTTTAACCAAATAAACTTTTGATTCTTTAACTATATCAATCAATTCCTTTTGATATTTTGCAATACTCTTGGATTCTTTATTAATAAGTGACAATATACTTTTGATTCTTCATATATTTTTTTTTATTATTCAGTAAAAATTAATATAAGTAATATAATATAAATATCAATTGATTTTATTTTATTTAATTAGCTATTTGTATGTAAGTAACAATTGTCTACATCTAGTTTTTTTTGTTTGTATCTTTCAATATCCTCCTCTTTGATAATAATATAAACATCTAACTAATTGTGCAGCTGCTTTTATAATGAATTAAAATGTGAAGCCATTAATTTTAATAATTCAGATATTAACTTGTTTAATATTTTTTTATTTGTATTATTTAAAAAAACTTCATTTATCCTTAGTTAAAGTTCTTTAGAAATAGTTTTTACTAAAACCTTTATTTCAGTTTTTGTTTCTTTTTAATTTTAAAAACAATTTCTAGAGGTTTGATTATTTTTATTACTTTACTCTTTTTAACACCTTTATTTTTTTTTTGAATTAAATTCTTTGGCTTTTTAATATATTCAATATACAGTCAAACCTGGATATAACGAACCTGTTTATAACGAAGCTATAATAAAATGCTGGTTATAACGAATTTTTGAATTTTGAATTTACTCAAAATTCATTATAAAAAGAGAATTTTATTATATAGATTTTTAAAAATTCTTTATACTGAATTTTCAAACAATTTTTTTCAATTTTTACTAATTAGCCCAAAGGCTTCGTTATATCCAGGTTTGACTGTATTTTCTAAATCTGAAATTATATATTTAGCTTCAACTTTAGATATAGTTTTGAATTGATATTTAAGTTTGAAAAGTTTATATTGGTATTTAGGTTTGAATTATACATGTGATAGAAATTATTGAATTGAGTCAGATGCAATTAAAAATAAAAAATTTAGTAATTAAGTCAATCAAATTTTTTTTATAGTTGATATAATTTATACAATTGTGATGCAATACTGCAATTGTACCACAATTATTTTAATATGACACAAATTTTTTTTTCCTGGCTAAAGTAAGACTTTACTCTAGTTTATTAATATAGATAAGAAAAATTTTTATATGTGAATTACATACATAAAGTTTTTAAACTACATTATTTTATATTAACTATAATCCACCTACAGGTGCTATAGACCATTCAGGTGTAGCCTGCCACCTTGCTTGCTAATCAAGCTTACCTTAGCTCTATTCGTTCGATTCTATTTTCTTCTTTCTGTTTGCTATTTAACCATTTTGTTATGTGTTTATAATTTTCTTCTTTTACTTTTGTATATGTTACCTTCTGTACTTTATTACATATTTTTCTTATTTCCTTTATTCTTTTTGTATTTATTTTCTTTATCTATTTTCTTTTCTTTTCTATTCTGTTTGTCTTTTTTTACTCTTTTATTACTAGGTTCTTTTTTTTCCAAATTCTTCTCCCCTCTTGCTCTATTGTTTTGTTTATTTTCTTTATCATCTTCTCTGCTTGTTGTTTATTTATTTCTTTTAGAATTCTCATCTATTGCTTTGGTACCATTTCTTGTATTATCCATGCCCAGCTAATCTTTATATTTTCTTCCTTCATCACTTGTTGAATTTCATTCTGACTTTTATTTTTTTCTTCTGTTGTTAGCTTTTCATTGATGTGATATTCTATTATTTCTATAATACTCTACTTCAGTCTTTTTATTTGTTATTTCACTAGTCTGCACTTCCATATATGTATTTGATCTTCTTTTTTTTTTCACATCTTATACATTTATTATATTTCTCATATCCTTTGTGATCCTTTGTCTTTTTCTTTTCCAGTATCAGCAATTTACTGTTAAATTTCTTTTCTAATCATCTGATACTACTTCCTTTTTCCATACTATTCTGTATTATTTTCTTGTATCTTTCCCATGTTGCTTCCCAATCAATTTGCTGTTTAATTAAGATACTTTGTATTTATTGCTAATTTTTTATATCTTCTTTCAGCCTTTGTTTTGTGTTCCTTCATGTCATATTATGTTTTTATTTTTATTAGTCTTTGCTTTTTCTTTTGTAACCTTCAATTCTTTTAGTTGCTTTTTTGTTTCTTTGTTTACTTTTTTAAAGATTTGTTCTTGATTTTCTTTGTCTATCCATTCTGCTATTCATTTGATCTTTTCTTTTTCTCTTATTGTTGCACCTAGTTTGACCAGTACTGCTTCTTTCATGTTTTGTCTTTGTAACTCTTTTTTTGTCTTTCCATTTTCTTTTATATATTGTTCTATTACTTTTAAATCTGTAATTATTCTTATCTCTTTTTCTGTATTGATTTGTCAGATGTTCAAGATTATTGTTTTCAGCTCTGCTTGTGTTACACTTTATGTTATATTCTTTTATGTACCTTATTCCATTTCTTTCCCACTTTCAAAATATTTCTATACTCCTATGCTCTTCTTCTCTTTTTTGTTCTATGCTACATCTATATATATTTTTTTGTCATTCTTCTCTTCCACCCTTTTCCTTTTCTTTCTGTTTTCTTTGG